ACACAAAACCAAAAACCCCACAACGCACAAAGCTAAACACACCCACAACTACTACAATCTACCACTTCAAAGCCGATGGATACATACAAGTCTTCAAAACTACACCTAACTTCAGAAATCCACTACAAAATAGTAACAATTCTACAGTAGGATGCCAAGAACAAAAAGTATAATACAGCAGATATCAATGAAAGAAGTAAATTTTTTTTCTCACAATCCTAGATACAGGGAAAAGTGGTAGACCTTTGAGAAACAGAATCACAGATCCTCAGCAAAAAGGCATTACTGACTCTTCAAATTACTTTTCCGTCCCATGCTCATATTATTAAGGGGCTTTTCTTCAGACTGGCTGACCCCACAGCAGCCTAACCCAACTCTGACACAGTCAGGACCGATGGCAGGGAAGTTCCCAGGTGCACACCTGGACGTTGGCGCATATGGTACAAAACCTCCTGGGGCACAATCTACACAAATTTTGCACAGAGGAATTTGGAGATCAAAAAGCTCAAATAATTACCTAATAACAGCAGCTCTGTGAAAAACAGAGATAAGAATTATGGCATCTAATTTCCCATCACAGCAGGTAGGTAATGAGTAACCACTGTATAAAACATCTAGAAGACCATTAACTTACTTGCATTTCTTTTAACGTGAACTGATCCCCTGTGCTTGAAGCCTAACAACCATAAGAATGTGAAGGTCTTTCTATTATTCAAGTCTAGAGGAAAAGTGAGTCATCTCCACTGTCCCACTTAGTTGGCAGCAGTCATCATTTGATATGGTTTCACATACCCTATTCAGGATTCAGGATTTCTCCCACATTCATTAAATCAATCTATTGATATACAAAAGTACAAAGCTGCACAATATTTAAATCATTCAATTTGCATTTAAAATTTCTGCATTCTTAGATTTTTATTAAACCATATAACAGCAGATAACGGAAAGATTGCTTAGAGTCAAACTTGGCATTGCAGTGGCAAGCTGAACTCTCTAAGAAAATGCCAGCCTACAAACAATGAGAAAATTCATTTGCACAGTGATGAGCAGAGCTTGTTACTTTTGTTGAAATAGCATTGTTTGTTTCAATAAATGCAACAATAAAAAAATCCTATTAAGCCAATATCTAAATTAAATTTATCACACAGATGTACAAGACAATCAATGTCTAGAGAAACAAAGAAATTAAACCAATATATTAAAGTAAATCACATTTCCACAGGACAAAAAAGTGTTACAGTATTTTAAATAAACACAGTTCAGTTATACGTTACTTATACCTTTCCAAACTGCAGCATGCCACAAAATTTCAAGTCAAGGATATAATGAAAGAGCTGCATTTTCCTTGGCTCAGTACTGGATCAAGCAAGAGCTGAAAAGCGTTATGACAATTTTCACATTCTGTTGATTATCAAACTCAGCATTCAAATTCCCTTTTACATGGATCAAGGAGGAAAGATTTCGGTACATGTAATCTTTCTACAGCTTCATATCAAAACAAGCAAAGCATCTGAAAAGCCTGAAATCAGTCCACAGCACTGTAACACATGCACCCATCTTATAAGAGAGACATAAATAATTTAGGACCCAGGTGACTTTCAAATTCAGATTAAACTTCTTTTAGCAGCAGGCTCTTTTGCATTACTCAAGGGTATCCAAAAAGCATCTATCATTTCTCTAATCTAGGGTAGATGCTACAATTGATCCATACAAATAAAGTTGCGTGAACATCCATCTTCCATAGAAAAGGAAATGGCTATTCACCAGGTATTGACCACATGCGTCTTCATTCACATTTAGCATTGGCTAATTCTGTGTTTATTAGAAATAATGTGTTTTTTCCTTTAGCAAGAAAGTAATTCATCACCTGATAACACAAGAAGATAAGGTCACAAATACAAAAGTAACGCAACTGCAAAAACAACATTTTTAAATGCAACTTTCGCTAGCTTACCTTCATATGTTTCTAATATGTGCACAGTGTCACCTATTTGTAAGGCAAGTTCATCCGGTCCCCTCGCATCATAGTTGTAGAGAGCTGGATAGAGGAAACACTGCTATTAGCACATGTAAGACAACAAAACTTCCAGGATATATGTTCCTCCACATAATTGTTTTTATTACTCATTGTTGCCATTCTCAAGCTTTTTGTAAAGGATTTTGTAAAACAAAAAAAAGAAAAAAAAATTGTAAAAATTCGGCCAAGTCCTTTAATCTATTAATATTTCCCCTTGTAACAAATCTCAAAAAGCTACCAGTCCACTTTCTAAAGTTAGTTCCTCACTGCGTTTATAATGCTTTGCTTCTTCCTAACGACACATTCAATTAATTTTTTTGTTCTACTTGCCTGCCTTCCAGCACTTTGTGTCAAATGTATGCAGTTTTGTAGTGAACTGCACTGTCTTCCACTGTCAGCTCAACGTGCAGAAAGTGTCTTTAGAAAACCTGAATTACAACCACTAATATTAAAGAATGATTTCTCTGTCATTTCATTCATTTACTGCATGCATACTAAAAACCAATATGATTTCAGAATTCCTGAGTGCCAGAGGTAACTGCATCAACCCACCGTATTCATGGGATAGCCTAGTCCTATCCCCCACTTTACAGCAGTATAATCAAGTTGTCATACATCACTCATTAGCAAGCTCTGACAGCATCCACAACCTGCACCACCACAACCTGCAAATTCACCAAATGCCTTTGTTTTCACAAATATTTCTGAGAGGCTCCAGTCACAAGCAGGGTGAGGAGTGACGATAAAGTGAAAACCATTTCCCTTTCCAGTGCTGAATTCAGCAAAAGCCTGGAGTCCTACCATCCAGTATAAGCAGCAAGAGGCACAACATGCGAGAGATCTGAAAGACCCTCACGTTACACAGTGCTGCAGATCTAAAGCGGGGCAGAAACGACTCTGGACCGAGACAAAATTCTCCGATTTGTTTAGATGCAACGAAACAGCAAACCTCACAGCTCTGTGTATTCCAAAAGTGACTTCATTGCAGGTCATGAGCTCCAGCTCAACCCTTGGAGGACAGTCTGCTCATCGTTGCCCTCCAGACCAGGGGACAGCCTCCACCCATGCCCACCCACATTTATTTTCCTTGAAGGAGCCCTGGATGAATACCTTCAGCCAGATGAACACCTTTAGTCAACTGCAAAAAAGGAATGCTGGAATCAACTGCTGGAAGCGGCTCCTGCCTCACGGCCACCGACCCACAGGCTGCCCGCGCTCGGCCAGACTTCACTCCTGGCCAGGGAGTAACTTCAGAGAGAACAAAAACTGGTTTGCTTTGAAAAAACAGCAGTCACGTATATACTACCAGAGATAATTCAAATGGAAAAGATGCATTACCCCACTCACCAATGAAATGAGATCATAACCAACAAATAGAAACCATAAGGGGCTTTCTAAACAACTGGCTAAGAAAGCAGAATTTTTCAGAACTGCCATCTTCAGAAGATAATTAACTACAACCAAAAAAAGTAATTCAAAGACCACTCTTCCCAAAAGAAAATCTGGGAACTCTGCGCACTGAGATCAGCAATGCCCAGAAATTTACCTGACAAATAATGCTGCAAACTAGGTTTGGTTGGAAAAAAATACTAATAATCTGAAAAACACAACAGTTATGACTCCTAAAGCCCTATTTTTATGTTTCATATGGAGCAAACTCTCTGTAAGAAACAAAATCTTCCAATACCAAGTAGGATCCTCATGACCGAAGGCAGGGACTCCGGTATTTCACAAGACTGAAGTTAATGAACTGTAGTCAAGGTGGACCCACCAAAGTCTCTGCACAGTTCTGCAACTGCAGTTACTCCCTCTAATGAGGTTATCGAGTTTAAAGGCGTTTTATACACTATTCTTAACAATTAATGAAATGGGAAAAGTAGTCTTCCTCTTTCACCATGAGGTGCTATGTACTTCTCATCTTCACATTTCCAGTACATAAAGGGCTGTGCTTCTTCGAGCACAGACCTCCTCTTCACAGTGACAGCTTCCAGAATGCAGTGTCAGAGGACAGCATTTTAAAGTTACCTGAGAATCACAATTTCATACTATTTGTCAGAACTCTTCGGGGAGTGAAAGCATTTTTGGAACATGATAGTTAACCTCAAAGCTTTCTACCATCCCTCAGATAATCACTTGCTTTTCCTTCTATATTAGTTTCCAGCAACAGGGTTGGTGTGAAGCACTGCTCAGATGTGGTCCAGTGGGGCTCTCAGATGTTATAACTGGAAGAGAAAGACCTGGAGAAGTTACGTGTAACTCCCCTTCTTGCAGGAAATCTTCACAGATGTTCAGACCAAAAGAACTGGAGAAAAAGCCTTATGAGGAGCGGCTGAGGGAGCTGGGGGGGGTTAGTCTGGAGAAGAGGAGGCTGAGGGGAGACCTGATCGCCCTCTACAACTACCTGAAAGGAGGTTGTAGTGAGGTGGGGATTGGGCTCTTCTCCCCGGTAACTAGCGATAGGACGAGAGGAAATGGTCTCAAGTTGCGCCAGGGGAGGTTCAGGCTGGACATTAGAAAGAACTTCTTCACTGTTAGAGTCGTTAGGCATTGGAACAGGCTACCTAGGGAGGTGGTGGAGTCATCGTCCCTGGAGACGTTCAAAAAACGACTAGATGTGGCACATCAAGACATCGTTTAGTGGACAGGGTGGCATCAGGTGTACGGTTGGACTTGATGATCTTTGAGGTCTCTTCCAACCATAATGATTCTATGATTCTATGATTCTATGAACTCATAGGACATTAACAACATGTGCCGCGCTCATTACAGGTCACAAAGCGCTTCCAAAAAACACCCTCAAACTTAAAACCTACACCAAAAGGGCAAAAGCCCCAGTTATAAAGGCAATGAGACATCAGGCCCAGGAAGCACCCTCACTTACCTGTCCAATTTTCTCCTATTCCCAAGCGGTCCTAAGAAGCGGGCTAGAGCCCGTATTACACAGAAGATCAACGACAAAATTACATCTATAAGAACTAGTAACTGGAGAAAAATACTTTCTTGACCTCAAATCTGATAATCGGGTTAGCCTCAAGCGCACAAGCAGGAAACATCCAAGTGGACATGTGAGAAGGTCTAATCCTACCACGAGGTCAGGGCACAGTGCCCGGCGCTGGTTCCAACCATGGCCATGACTTCATTTTCAACCTTCAGGAGTTACTATTTATTCTCCCCAGAATTTATCAAATTCCAGCCTACAGTGCTAACAACAACAAACACATGACAGGTTGGCTTGGTCCTTTCCTCTGCAGTACTCCCCCCTTGCTCGACAGACTACAGACTTTAGAGTTAAGTAGTAAATAAACATATCTGAGTGCAAAATTGAAAAAAGTAAAAATAAAGAAAAGAAAAAGCAATTTGGAAGAGAAAACATAGCATACAGTGTAGGATTACAAAGAGAGGAGAGGACATTTCAGGGTAAAAAGAATAAAGGTCAAGTCCATCACAGAGACTAGTATCAACAGTATTTAAATGAAGGCTTTAGAAAGTAATAGATTTTTATTGACATCAAAACAAGCCAAGCTAGCTACTCCTGTTTTAACTGTTTTGTTAACTTTTTCATTATTAAAGACAGATAAACCCTTCCTCCTAGGTATCTGGTGCAGAATATTTCAAAGCCATAATTGCTATTCTGCAATGTGAAAAACACATTAACAAAAATGAGCATTTTAAACTGCTCTGAGCAGAAGGATGTTAACGATGGTGAATATACGGCATGTGGGACAGTCTGCTCAATAACACTCATTAGAAATGTTTTCACTACAATTTTTCTGCATACCAGGAAAGACAAACTTACACAGTCAACACTAACTCCTCCAAACTTGTGTGGTTTGAGTTCAATATCTAACTCCATCCTTCAGGTATTTACTTAGATCTCTTCAATGCTCACAGCTGTCACTAGAGTCAAGAGGGCCCCTGGATCCTCAACATGTCCAAAAATGAATCCAACTGGAGCGTTCCGCCTTCAGGACCCCCACAAGCAATCTCGCTGCTTGTATCAGACATCCCAGTCAGGAAAAATTCGCATTATGATAGATTAAAAACAATGCCATATTGAATTCACACTTCAGCTAAGCATTTCCCGAACATCTAAATGGATAACACTAAGGATCAAAGGCAGCTATGAATAAAAGACATTAAAATTTATATCCAAGAGTGCTAACTAGTGTCTGTCATAACAAGGAGGGTCACGTAACAGGAGTTTCCCTGTAATGACCAATTCCTTTGACAGGAGATGACAAACAGCCATCAAGTGGTAATTACTGCCCATGACAGCTCCCACCGACCTGAACTGAGTGAGGAGCAATGGCCATGGAGAAAAGATTTATCTTTAAAAATATATATGTGTGAAAAATATGTCTAAAAAAAAAAAAAATGGGGGCTTGCAGTAGCATTGACAGATCATGAAGCAAGCAACCAAAATAACTATAAAGTGCATTCCAGCCCTGTGATTATAAAACAAGGCTTGAACTACACTGCTTACTCCTATGTCAGCTAGCAGATAACTCCCTCTCAGGGTACTTGTTTATGTACAGTGTTATGACAGATAAAATGTTTGATTGGAGCAAACAACAAGGCTTTAATTAAAGGAAAAGACAAAATTTGGAGGAATAAAGCATGAAACCGATATGCTTATATTTTATCTGATCAACTGTATTCTGAGTCATCATTTAAAATATTTAATAGCCTGAAATGTAACTTCCACATTTTTTTATTTTTTTTTTTAAGTAGAATAAGTTTTACTTGATTTGGAAAATCCAGTTCTCAGTATGACAGACTTTCAGCTTGGAGAGCTCTAAGCCAAATGAAGCATTAGGAATATTTACACCAGCTAATGTCAGGCCTCCCCATCACGCTTAAACCAACAATCAAGGCTTGCTGTTTTGGCAAAGGAATTACACAGCCTCCTAAGTTAGAAAAGCCTTTGCTACAATGCACAAGCAAGATAACGACCACGGTTACTCAAGCATCAAAAGATTTATGACTAAGACCTAGCCAGGGCAAGTTAACCCCATGGTTAACACTAATACTGCATCCTGATGCTCTTCATCCATGCATAGATTAATTTTTCTTTCCCCTCGCTAACAAACTTCAACTGAAGAGGCACTGCTAAGCTTCTCTACTGCAACTGAATACTCTCATCCCTTATCATTTAGAAGAATGCTATTTACAATGTGTTTTCTCCCTAAGGGATACGTTTGTGACAGAGGTAACTTAAGAGACCATGCAGAAGAGATACCAAAGTCACTGGAGCTCAGGAGAGATGCTGCCTTTCCGCAGAAGGAATACAGGAGATAGCACGGGCTCTTGCAGCCCAGCACCACTTCCCTCAGCTTGGGCTATAGCCTGCATTAAAGATGAAGTACCAGGTTCACACAGCCCAGTATGTGGCAATCAGCTTTAAATGAGCAGAAGAGGACCGCTCTCCCTGCAGAACCCCCTTGAGAAGATGAAGGGGGCGGTTGCTCCCTGATGTCTCTGCTGTGGGCTATGGACCTCCCAGGCACAGGCACCTCCATCTGACCAACGTTTTCTAATAACACTTACAAGGTTAGCCTGCAGAAGAGAATGACCGCAACATTTTCTCAAAGTTGTGGACAAAGAAATAAAGAGCTTTATTTTCCAGTTCTAAGCATCATTAACTATGACTGATTTAATCTAGAGCTGTGGGGGCCTATTATACTTGCAAAATCACACCTATAGACCATATTTCCTTGACAATCATGTTATGGGTATACTTGCACCAGCTTCCGAACAGACTTCAGGTGCAGTTTTATATCAAACCTGCTTATAAAAACCAAGGTAAACCAAAACTCTTCATGACAGGGAACGCACCTAGTAATTTTAGGGGGCATGCTGCTGATGCATAAAGAAGCGCCGTGGCTCTTGAGATCTGCAGTGAACGAAGCCTATGGATTTAGTATGTCTGTCTGTTAGTCAAGGCAGAGTTGGCTGACATGAAGGCTGAAGAGCACCCAGCCAACATGTCAGTGAACTTTGGGTTTCAGCTCCGAGACGTTAACGAGCAGAACTAGGATGGCAAAAGCAAAAACACAAAGAGCAAAGTCACAGTGACAAAACCATCCTGAAGCCACCCCTCATTCCCAGGCCACAGGAGAGAAGGTTTCAGGACCACCAAAGACATTTTTCCTCATCAGCTGAACTTTCAGCCCAGCGACTCTCTGGGTAAAGGCTCTCCCTGCTCCCCTCCTCCCCACAACCACAAAGCCCAACTATAAAAAAATACTGAAGTGCCAAAAGCAAAGGATTAGTGTGGGCATAGAAAGAGCAATTTTTTCAACTCTAGATGATAAAGAAAGGAACAATGAATAGGGCATTACAGTAATTGCACTAAAAACCCATTTACTGCTAAAGAATACAAAACAAACACCTCTACTGAACTGCACTCATTAATCTGCACGCATTAGAAAAATGAGTGCAATGCTAGAAGAATTAGAGAGGTGACGGGGGGGGAGAGGGGGAAGGAAAAAGCAAACAAAGGTAACATCAATACATACTGAAAAAGCTTTTCTGTGGCTGTATGAAAGCTGAGCTATCTTAAGATACCATAAAAACGTTACAGAATAATATTCCCTGGAAATACTTTGCATTAAAGGTTGTATTAATCATTCCACACTCCTAAAAGAAAACAAACTACATTTAACACATTATCAACTTTATTTCACATTGTCTTTTAAAAAAAATCCCAAAATCATAATTGTAGTTTTTCCATAGAAGCAGACTGAAACTGGAGAGGTGAAAGCAAAGTCTTCGGCAAATTCTCTAGTATTAAAAAGAAAAGAAACCTGAAGGTTTCCCTCCTGTTTTCTCTAAAAGGAAAGTGGTTGCTTTTGGCACTAAGGAGACTCCTTAGTCCTCTGTTACGTACCCAAACAAGTTTCCAATTTTTACAGCTGACGCTAATGGAGAAAGAAGAAAAAAAGAAGCGTACAAGTCAGGAGTTGCACCTAAGATTTGTTAAAGACGATTATTTCATGCGTGTATTAACCGAGGGTAGGTCTTCCTGCCTTACTGAAGTCACCTTGTGTTTTGTCATTCCTGGTCTTTGGGGTTTGTCATTCCTGGTCTCACCAAGCTTAGGTCATGGTTCTGTCTCAATATTCTTGTTATTCTGTCACCCAAACATTCACAAAAGATGACTTTCCTAAAGAGAGGAGAAGCCTAAAGAAACTCTTAAGCTTGAACAGTTACAGCCAAGCTAACAAAGAAAATACAGCTTGTGGTTCCTCCTCCCCAGTAACGCCCTACATTTTACTGTTTAAATCCATGAATGTGACTTATCACAGGTCTCCCTCCAGCAGGACTAGACTAAATCCAGTAAGTTTACATAGTTATTCTCATTTTCCCTTACAAAGAGGAGACCATTCCTTTCCCCTCTCCTTCACCTGAGCAGCCAATTCCTGAAACACCTTGATTCATCTGGAAACTGTACTCCCACATGAGCCCAGGAGCACTGCCTCTCCTCCACAAACTACACAGGGCATCTGTCAAGGGCGAGAGAACTCTGAACCTGGACTCTGGCACCCCTCAAACTGAAATCTCTGCAATGACAGCCTGCCTTCCCTCTTCCAAAGTGAGGGGACAAAACACTCGAGAGGAAACTAGTAAATGTACACAGGAATAAATTCCGCATTTAGAAGAGAACCTAAGCACATGTGCAGCAGCGACTGTTGGTTAGCTTAGAAAGAGCAAAGGGCCACCCAAGCCTCTATAAACGTAACTAAACACGTCAGGTTTTACAGCAGATGGTAACACAGGGGAGCAATATGTTTTGCAAAACATCTGGTGTCCTATCACTACCTAACATGAATTAATAAGCTGAGAAAACTTCATAAATCCAGAGCAATCCCCAAACTTGAGATATGTTGTCTTCCAGAAGTGTAACCACCCTGTTGCTGCATCCTGCAGGTAAAGCTCAGGTAGGACAGAACAAGACGCACACTTGTCCTTTCTGCACTAATGAAAAAAAAAAAAAAGAGTGAGTTCTAGACCTATGCAAGATTTCCAAGAACCAAGTTCAGGTCCTTGCTTTTCCTCCTCCCCCCTTTTAAGCCCGATACTTTATTTTTAGGGAGTTAATGAAGATGCCAACTCACTCTTTTAACAGCTTTCTCCCTCCTCTTTCTTGCTACTTAATCTGTATTCAGAGTACGTCACCACTAAGTACTGAGGGTATAAAGCTGAAACTAGCATTAAAAAAAAAGATAACATTATTGACTATAACAGCATTAATAATGTGCCATAATGCATAGCTAACAAGAAGCACAATCAAGAACATTCAAATCGATTCTTAATATTAAGAAGTCCATTAACTGAAGCACACTGTATGCCAGAAGTAATCACACCACCCTGAGCTCTTAACGCTGGCTTTTGTAGAAAAGGCAAGATGCTGATTTAGACAAACAGAAAACATTATCTAGAGGCAGATGTCTTGGCATCTGTCTTCTGGTAACACAGAATCACAAAGTAAGTAACTTTCGATGTTCCCTTGAATTTCCCACATTTCACAGGGGGACACTAAGAAGTGATAACTCAGCTCTTGCTATGCTGGGCCTACAGGCAACACCCTCAAAGAAGGCAAAGACAGTGTCTGAGCATGCCCTATGCCTACCATTGTGTATCTGAAGAAAGGATTTCTGTGTTTTTCATTATCTGAAATTCAAAACAGCCTCTACCTGAAGTCTTTGCAAAATTTGCCAAACTGTCAATGTTGCTGTGTGTAAAATGCATTCAGGTATCTGCTGGGCATGTGAAGGAAGGAAGGAAAAAGAGTTAAACACTGGAGAGGAGGAGGAACCAGTTCAGCTTATGGTCCACGCTGGCAGAGGATCA